ATTTTGGTCAAATATCTGTTGTCATCGTTTCTGGAAGTAGCATGATTTCACATTCATAAAAGTTTTGATCGTTGCTTACAAAAAACTGATCCAAGTGATTTTTGACATTGTCATTTCAAGTAAATGTCTTACAGTTAAAAAATATTTGTATAGACTGGAAAAAGTTATAATCTGAGTGTGCTCAATCTGGCGAATATGGTTGGTGTGATAGCATGTCCCATCTAAGTTATAACAGTTTCTGACGTGTTACCAAACTTGTGTGAAATTTGACATTATCATGGTAAAACACTGCACCTGTTTTGTTGATCAGTTCTGGCCGCCTTTTCTGTTTGATGATATTACTCAATTTGTTTACTTGATGGCAGTACACTTTCGAATCAATTGTTAAATTGTCTGGTAAAAGCTCCAAAAAAATTTCCTTAAAATCCCACCAAAGAGAGCATCTCTCTTTAAGAACATGTGGAACTTATATATCAAGCTTTGAAACAAAACCAATCTGTTTCAAGTAATCATAAACAGTTCAATTTGACAGATTTAATCTCTTAGTGATTTCACGTGTTGTTATTCGGCAGTTTGCTTCAATCAGTACCTTTATTTTGTTTTCATTGCCTTCAACTGGCCATCCAGAACGTGGTGCATCTTCAATATTGAAATTGCCAAAACGAAATTTTGTAAACCAGTTTTGGCACTGTCGTTCTGTCAATACATCTTTGCCATACACATCACACAATTTTTTTCTTGCTTGAACAGTATTATTACCTTTTCGGTAATAAAAGAGCAAAATATGCTGAAAATTCTGCTTTCGATCTTCCATATTTGATGGGACACAAAAAACTACACAATTGCACAAAATCAAACAAAATTTTTTTACAAATAAGCCTTAAAATGCTAGCTGTCAAAATATATAATGATAATACGGATTAGAATGAAAATGGCGGGAAAAATATGACTAATTTGTCTAGTGGTAAAGAAAACAAACTTACTTTTCGAACAACCTAATATTTATTTTATTCAGAGTTTCTGGAAATTGAAAAAAGTGATTTGATAATATAAATTGTTTATAATTATGTATTTCTATGTTTCTATTTATTTTTAACTTTTTTGCTAAATTATCATCTAAATTAGGTATTAATGATATCTGTAAATGTTGCATTAACTTTATTTTTTCATACAAATTTTCAATATATGACACAACAACATATTTAGACTTAGAGATTTTAGGTCAAGTTTGATTATTTTCATATTACAAAATTTTAATACAACTTTAACATTAATTTCTTTGGATAATAATTAAGTTTCAGTCTTTTAAAAATAATTTCAATTTTATTTTGCTGGATTCTGTTGTATGATTTGAAGTTTTTAAAATATTTGTCTTAAATCTTGTAATATAATTGAGATCGGTTGATAATGAAAATAATGATAACAATAAGTGCATAACCGAAATGGTTAGGAGTTGAAAGTTGAAATTTGGTACACAGTTAGGGTACGTCATGAGAATGTAGTACACTAAGAAGGAATTTTTCAAAATCCGCACCGCGAGGGAGAGAGAGGATTAAGGATTACCCTGAAGAACTTGGCTTCTACTGTACTATTTTAGATGCCTTTTTTGCATTTATGCAGGGAAATCGAACATTTTTAGACTCTTCTAAAAATTCTCAACGATATTTAGTTTTCCATTGTGTATAAAGTTAACACAGGGAGCACATGTGCATAAGTTTGCTTTATTCAAACTCTTCGTCTTAATGTTCGAATTTATATTTATGAATGATTCTGGAAGATCTAGCTTATTTTTCGAATTCATTGAAGAAGAACCCAGAAAGAGTTATGAAAATGTTTATTATTTATCTCTTAGTGGTACTACTAATGGTTAGTAGTTGCAGTGAGTCTTATTTATTGTTATCCTGGTGTGGTAAGCAGATATCTAAAAATTTTCTAATTAATCTTGGAAGAGGGGAGACCTAATTTTTACACTCGGTGAAAATGGGTAAGATCATCTATAATCTATTAATTTAAATCTTTGCTATCATTACTGTTTGTCTGAGCAATGCCCTCATCTGCTAGTAAAATATATTTCAAACCTAGGCATATAAGAATAAAAATTGTTTTTAACACTACAGGGTTTATAATCTTTGGAATTCAATTTTATTATTTTTTCTATTTATTGTAACATCTAAATAATTAATACTACTATTTAGTTCTATTTCATAGTCAAAATTAATATCAGAATATATTAAATTTGCTAACTGTACAATATATTATAACTAGACAGCGGACATTTAGGCCCTTAAAAGTAGTGTTTTAGGCGCCTAAAATAGGCTCTTAAATTGTCTCGTTTAGGCTTTATAAACAAAAAATAGGCGGTCAAAATTTGCACAATGAACAAGTAATGTACTTATCAGACAATGGTTTATTTATTTAACATATGTATTCCAAACAAAAATGCACATATTCAGAATGCTGCAAACGCAAAAGTAGACAAACAATTATCTTTACATTTTTTATTCACTCTGTTTCCCATAGTTTGCTTCACAATATATTATAAGCACTTTTTCCAAATTTTCAATAGAAAAGTTGCAACGTTTGTCACTGAGTATTAATTTATACGCAGAGAAAGAGCGTTCCACATCTACTGACGATAACGGACAGTATTTCAACCTTGGAAGAAGATGAACTGGGAATTCACTTTCGGTTTTGCTCTTCTTTCCTGCCAAAATATCAGCCACAACAAACAAGGACTTTAATCCAGTATTCTTTTGAAGCACTGCATCCAACTTTTTCCTCACTTTTTCTGCAGCAGTGCCTGGTGCATCACAAAGTTTCTGCTTTGCTCTGTTGAGGAGATCAATTTGTTCATATATCGGTTTCCCACTACTTTCAAGAGCAGTAATAGTATCTGCAATGAATGTGAAATGAGACTTAATGTACACCAAGTCGTTCTGAACATAAATGTCATTCAAAATTTCCTTGGCTTTAGTTACACAAACTGCATCATCCGCTAAAGTGTCCAGAAGTTTCTTTATATCAGAGAAATGTTCACTGTAGTAGTTAACAGCCTTCAGCCAAGTTCCCCAACGAGTGAGAACAGGTTCTGGAGGAAGAGCAACATCTGGGAGCATCTGCCGAAAAGCTTGCACTCTTGATGGGGCTTTAATGAACACTTTCTTGACAGAGGAGATGAGTTTATTCACCTTCTCATATTCTACTCTGATTTGCTCTGCTACCCGATTGAGACCATGGGCCAAGCATGTCACATGGACAAGAGCAGGAAAAAAAATCTTAAGTGTTTTCATGGCAGGAACCATGTATGAAGCAGCATCTGTTACGGCTACAAGAACTTTATCTTCATCAGGATTAATTATCTTTAGTCCATTGTTCACAAAATGAGCCACTGTTTCATGGTTAGTTTTAGTCAACTGTTTTGTGTAGATCAGGTAAGCTCTGGAGGGCCCATCGGCATCAAGCTTTCCAACAATCAAGTTGGCAACGTAGCGTCCAAGACTGTCCGTTGTTTCATCTACAGAGAACCACAAGTAAGAGTCCTTAAGATTGTCTCTTATCCTGGAAATAATATCTTCGTATGCAGGTTGCACATAATACTTTCGAAGTGTCGACTCTGAAGGAATTTTCTGGTGGCAGTACTTTTCCAAGAAATTTCTAAAATGAGTGTTCTCCAATGTTTTAAATGGAATATTTGCTGCTATAATAGCATGACACAAATCAGCACTAAACTCATTTTTCTTTGATGAAGTCTCTGAAGTCTGCGTCAAGAGAGTCTGTTTCATTTTATATTTTCGTTCAACGTTCGATTTATGCAGAGCACCTTGTGCATGTTGTGTGAGGTGGCATTTCTTTTCACTGGACACCTACAAAAAATATTAAATTTTATTATTTGTTGTTTTTAAACTACTTTATATTTTATATATATTAACATTATACAGTACAGTATATATAATTTGTAATTTGCAGTAATATTTTAATTTATGAAAATATTTTTTTACTGACCTCTTTATTACAGACTTGGCACAGAATAATCTTGCCATCCGACGTGTAATGAGGGAATTCTTGAAGCCATTGCCGAATTAATGAAGCTTTAGATGTTTTAACTTTTGGCATTTTCACTAAAATTTTATCCACAAGTGAACACTCCAAAGACAAAAATAAAACTGATCTGCAGTAGACTGTCAGGCTGTTATTCTGGCAATTCGGGATTTTATGACTTGGTGACAAAAGACTAGGTGTGGCTAATTGCTGTTTTCAGAGGGTATGGTGGAGGGAGAATTTGTAAAATTTTAACTGCCTTGGAATGTAAGCAATACAGTATGTTAAGAATCAAAGTAAATCTTTGTGGGAAACGAAACGAAAAATTAAAAACTTTTTAAAAATATGAAAACAGGCTAAACTTTATGTTTTAGGCAAAAATAGGCAGTAACGTCAAATTAGGCATTTTTAGGCATTTTAAAATACCATTATTTCGGTCTAAATGTTCATGAAAAGTGTTAATACAAAATCTTTGCCATGTATATGCTAAGGGAAAAAAATAGGCATTTGCCTAAAATCCGCTGTCTAATTATAACTGTACAATATTGGATGAATTATATCATTATCATAAAACAACAAATAATCATCAACATAATTGAACAAAAACACTTTTCTGCTTGATTGTAAAAAAATTGTATGACAATGTCATAAATACACATTAGCTATTAATAGTTTAGAACTAACAATTGAACTCATAGATTCAAGTTTTTTTTTTGTTTATGCATAATAATCTTATTTAATACAGAATTTATTAATTCTAATACTTTGTTATTTCAATTTTTTTAAACTAAACTGCCTACTTTACTGTTATGAGGTATGAATGGATACATTGAAATGATAACATTTTGAGATTATTCTAAATCTTTTAAATTAATTAATTTATTTATTTATTAGTATTTTTAATAGTAATTTCTGAGTTTTTTATTTCATCTAATTTTTTCTTTAGTTAAAAATGTTATACAATATAAAAGGATTAAAGTCTACTAATTATTATTTTTATGTCTCATTTACTATGGTCTAAAGCAGTGATGTCCAACTTGTGGCCCACTCAATGTTTTTGTGCAGTTCTTTTAAAACAGTAATTATCTTATATAGATTTTTATTATAATGAAATTTCACATGTATAGTTAAATACATTAACATGATGTATAACACCTTATCACATACTGTACACTCAGAAATTAAAACAGTATTAAATAGTTTTAAACAAATCTTCAAATGTATTACATATATATGTAAGTACAGTACATACTGTATATATATGTATTTAATCAGTATGTTCACAACAACAAATATTTTTAAATTGGTGTTTTGGTATAATGAAATTATTTTTCTTAAATTTGCCATATATGTGTAATAAATGTCAAACAATAGACACATTCCTAAGTTACAATGGTCTTCTGTGTTTCCAATAAATAATAAGTTTTATTATTTTCTTTAAATTCTTTGGAAATAAGCCTAATAAAATTAATAATGCTATTAAATTCTTGCTGGATTGACAAAGGTGTAATTTTGTATCATGTTTCGTATCCAGTACATGGTTTGTTAAATAAGCCTAATAAGTTTTAATTAGAATTACACATTTGCACAATGCATATAGATTTAAAATTTCAAATCATTCTGTGTTTAGATTGTTAACGGGTTTATGTTTTACTGTGCAAGTTATTTGATTATAGTCAGTCACCAAGGGGCGCTTCATGTAAAGGTTATGTTCTGTAGGTCATTTTAAAATTGGATGACTGTTAGTTACTTGTTTTCTTTTCTTTGACCTGGCAGCCATTTTTAATAAAGTTATTCTCTTTAGCTACTTCTGCTAATTAAGTTGTGGAAAGTGCTTTAAAAATTTTGGAAATTGAGAGAAGAATTTAAATTTTTATGAATGAAAGGACCAGAATGTTTCTAAATTATATGATGGACAGTGGTTTTTTGATTTATGTTTCCTTCCAAATATTACAATGAAATTAAACTAACTTAATAAGCAGCTTCAAGGTGAAAACAAATTGATCACAGACTGTTATCAAAATATAAAGCATTCATAGCAAAACTCAAACTTTATGAAAGTCAGTTAAAATCAAAAACTACATTTCATCGTCCAAAATTACATAAATTTAATAGTGACAAAAACATTTTTCTAAATATGCACAAGAAACTATTAATTTACTAAGAGAATTTCAAGAAAGATTTTCATATTAAAAAATTTATGAGAATATATTTAATATTTTGTTATGTCCATTTGACATTGTTGTGGAACAAACTCCAACAAATTTGCAGATAGATTTGATAGATCTCCATTCATCTTCTGAATTGAAATATATGTTTGAGGCAATAACAAAGTTCAGTTTTATACAAAATACGTCTGTAATGATAAATTCCCTAACCTAAAAAAACGCAATGAGCATTACAGCTGCAATGGGAATTACCTATCTTTGTGAATCTTTTTTCTCAAAATTGAAGATTGTTAAATGTAAAAGTCATAATAGATTGACCAATAAAAATTTTAAAAAATCCAATTATTTTGTACAATACATCAAAAATACCTGTTGATATTAAAAAATTAAGTGAAAAAATTGAAAAGCAAGTTTTACATTAGAATACATACAAAATACTGTATAATTGTATATGCTTTGTTGTAAATAAATGTGTGGCCTACATTGTATTTTGGTTTTGGCCCAGTAAACAATTTCAGTTGGACAACACTGGTCTAAAGGGAACAATCATTGATGGCTGAAACATGTTATGTAATGAATGAAAAAACAAAACCTTCTTGTAGGTAATTGCAAGTCTTTGAGTGAAGAATGTGAAAATGTGTGTGGGGTTTTCTTGTCTCTTTGAGAATTTAAATGATTAAAGTTTACTGTTTAAAGCATTGGTTAAGATTTATAATTGATAACATTTACATGTTCTCAGTCATATTGAAGCTGATAATGTGAAAAGAGAACTTAAAATGAATTTGTTTAAAACATACATAAGCAAAGATTTTATATTATACTTTAAACTACATAATAATTTTTTGTAATATTTTCATTTATTTGGATTTGTGTATATTTTATCTGTAACTTAAGGTAATCAGAAGATTACAGATAAAAACAAAAGTAAGATTATTATATTATATATTGATATATATATAATATAAAACAAAATAATTAGTAATATAATTATATTATGGATATAAAAACAAAAGTTTAGAATTGAATTAAGCATGGATTATATACAAGGGATAAATGTATACGAAAAATATAAATGATGCAAAACAAACTTTATTCTTTCTATACAAATTAGATGTGTGTCAATTTCAATCAAAATTATAATATATTAAAATATAAAATAATTAAAGGTTAATCAAATTAGATACAGGTTGTGCTATAGGAAAGATGCTTTTTTTAGTACAGATTGCATGTACAAGGATTTAGATACTTTAAAATCTTAAATAATAGTACAGTAGAGCATCGATTATCCGACTCAATTGGGGACTCAGGTTGGTCGGATAACTGAAAAATCGGATAACCGAAAAAAATGAAAAAAATACATTATTAGTATATTAGTATATCCCATGTAATTAGTATATTGCTATTAACCAACTTCGCATTGAATTTTCATCGATGTTAAACCTAACAAATTTTTTAAAATAATAATCGTCGCTATTGTATCGTTAAAAATTATTTTAAAATTATTTTATTGCCCACAAAACAAACAACCACTCATAATTAGAAAATTAAGTCTCATTTAAATACTGGCCTCCCTTCAATGGTTGAGCCGTGTTGCCAGCTAAAACACGCAAAAATTTAACAAAAATAATATTAAAGTAGCCAAGACATAGCCAAATATTGTAGTGCCACATCACTAGCGGACATTTGAAATTTTCCAATTAGAACGGTCGGTTAACCGAAGTGACGGTTAATCGGGGATCGGATAATCGATGCTCTACTGTATAACTAAAATAAATCTTTTAATATATTTTTGTTTTATTTCAGCTAATGTTAAATTCTATTATCCATTCTTTCATCGAGCATTGTTTAATATTTTGGAGGATGGATGGACTGCATTTCTTCCAGAAACTGAATTTTCAAAAATTAGCATGAATACTGAAGAGTGGAGAATCACACATGTTAACAAAAATTATTCAGTAAGAAATTAAATTAATTATCAATATTGAGCTTGTTTCTGTAGCAGTGAACAATTTTTAGCTGATATATTAAAATAAGAAATTAAATAGTATAAAGAACATTTAGAAATTTTATTCTTCTGTTCTTAATAAATTTTTGATATTTTCTTAATTTCTTATTGAAATTCTTTGAGATTTTTTCATATATTTAATGATATAGTTTTATAATTAAGCATTTTTACATTTAAACATTTTATATGATATTTAATAAGTACAGATTCAGGTGTTCAGAATATGTCCAATTGTGTGAATGAGGTTTAAGAAAAATTAAACAGTTCTGGGGAAATTTATAGTAGAAAAAATATTATTCAATAGCTTCAAAAATGTTGCAATAAAATGGAGCAGTGTCTCAACTAAGTCTATAGACTTCAATCAGGCAAATTTTCCGAAATGACAGCATCTTGTGTTTTAAAATGAAATTGGAACATTATTTACTTTGTTTCTGATCAGTTCAGTCATTTGTTATATTGCTGTCTACTTATATGATTATGCACTTGCAATGGGATGAGTCAGTTGAGGTTCCAGAATCACGGTTTTAATTTTTACAAATAAACTGAAAACTAACTGAGCTTTAAAAGGAATCGAAAAAGAAAGTCTGTTTTTATTTCAAAACTTTTTTTGACAATATTTAATAGATGCAATTTCATATCAGCTTGATTTAAACAAAATATTTACTTGTTCCCACACAGAAAAAATTGCAAATTAATACATAACATAAAACATAAAACTACATAAAAACATGTTCTGAATTGTCTTGATTAAATAGTAGTAGGCTGTTTTGATTTTTTTTCAACCTCCAATGGTTTATGAAACAAAGACAAGTGTAAATAACAAAATGAATTTATTACCAAAAGTTAGGTACACACTTGGTTACTTTTCGACACAATCACTGTGAAGATTGAGGCATTTGTCATATCTGTGGACAAGCTTTGCAACCCCCTCTTCATAGAATATTGCCACCAGTGACTTGAGATGGGCCTTAACCTATTCAATGTTGAATATTTTCTCCGTCACGTGTCGCTCCTCGTTGAATTTTTTTTTATGTTAAGCCTAATGCAATCACATGTTTTAGAAAAATAATAATTGTGGCTATCGTATTATTCCAAATTACTTTATATTTATTACACACAAAATAGACATATTAGGGAATGTAAAAAACAAAAAATTTTATTTTAAAAGTTAATTTTAGTGTGATATATCTCAAAACAAGGTACAACACATAGTGGAACATTACATTGTACACATTGATAACGTGATTCTGCACGTTTTTTGTTAGCTGAACATACTTTACATACTCTGGATGGATGCTTTTTTTTTCAGTAGGTGGTATAAAACTAGGAAAATGCCATTTAGATAAATGCAATGGATTTTCGTGTGATGGTCAATTGCAGCGGGCTAGATGTCTGCTTGTGTGATACTTCTCTATCACTTCTCTGATAACAGACATACGAAAATCTAGAAATGATATTTGTTTTTTTGTATGTTTTCAAATATAAAATACAAGCATTATATAATGTAATATCCATCATATGAAAAAATACTTTCTTGTACCATTTTACCGTTTTTCTCACGTACGGATAATTGTGTATTACTCCGTCACAGAGATCGATACCACCCATATTGTGATTATAATCCAAAATACAATTTGGCTTCATTATTACTTCCCCATATCTGTCACATTTACCCGAATCAGAGAATTTGTTATCACTCATTGTACTTAGAATTGCCACATCCCTTTTGTCTTTCCAACAGAACACAGACAATTCATCTTTTTGACAGGTGATAAATTACCCTTCTTTCAATTTACTGCCAGGAAAATTACATGGCATTCCTATCCAATTTTTATTTACTGTTTCACATACATAGGTTTGTTTGTCTAGAAGCGTTTTCACTAAGGTCGGTGAGGTGAAAAACCTATCTAAAAAAAACCTTGTGATATTTACTGAACAATGATTCTAATAAGGTTAGCACAACCTTCTCTCCTTGCCCACCTTCAAAATTTCCATATTCAGTAGTAGCTACAGTATAAACTATAAAGTCCCAAACATATCCTATTTGTGACTCACAAATTTCAAAGCTTTTCACTCCAAAACGAGCACGCTTGTTCGGTATGTATTGCCTAAATCCCAATCTCCCTTTCCATAGCATAAGACTTTCGTCTACACAGATATTTTCCTCTGGGAGGTATGCATTTTTGAACTTGTGGCATAAATGATCGATAACACTGCGTGATTTATGCAGTCAATCATCACCACCTGAAGCTTGATTATTGTCCATAAAATGCAGACAGGACAATAAAAGTTGAAAGCAGTTGCTCGACATTGCATTGGAAAAAAAGGGTGTCGACAAAAGATCTTCACTTGTAAAATACATACTTAGGCACGGTTTTCTAATTATACTTGTGACCATTATAAGTCCTAGAAATTCTCTAATTTCTGGATTTGTCGTTGGTTTCCAGTTTTTTATCCGACTATTCTCTCGTAAATCGTCACAATTTAGCAAACTATCACCATACCTGTTCATTTCTGAAACAATCTTGTCGACAAGTTCGTCATCGAAGAATATACTGAAACACTCAAACGGTGTAGCATCACTCTGTAGATTACATCGTATTCTTGATGGTCCTGTAAAACTGTTCACTTGAGGACGTCTGAAATTTGTACGAATCCATCCGTCGTCACTACTAAATCGCGGATGTTTAGCAGTATTACTTCGAGTACTGCCATGTGATCTGCCTCTATATCCACTCGTAGATGGTAATTCAGGATCAAAATCACCACTGTCATCACTTACATTTTGATCTGATATGTAATCACCATTGCTGTCTGAAAATTTGGATTCATCAGAACCTAAATTGAATAAATATTCGATAACTTCTGACTTATTTAGAGCGCTGTGTGTACTATTTGGTGCCATATCGAAAAACAGAAACAAAATGGCCTAATTTTCTTTGTGATTTCTAACAAAGAACTATTCCTAGAATTTTGATAACCTGCTGAGCAAAAACTAGATAACATAATGGTTCTTCTGATATGAGTCACTTATTTCAAAACACCATACAAGTAGCGACATCTGATGTTTAAAAAACGTTCCGATGTAAACACTAAAATATTCGGGATCGCCCACACAGGTCAATGAGTGTCAACACGAATATTTTTGGGAACAACGTAGGACAGGTTAACATTGTTTTGTGGATTGTCATTAGTCTCAAACCTCTGCCCTCCTAGCACATTTTCAGTTCAGGAAACAAGTGGAAGTTTTCATACCTTTAATGTATGAAGACTTTCATTCAGCTTGGAACTTTTTAAACACCCAGCGGTATAGCTCCGATTTAGTGCTGAATGACTTCCACCACTTTCCTGTACTGAAAACGTGGCTAGGAAGATAGAGGTTCAAGACTAATGACGATCTTCAAAATAACATTAAGGCCCATCTCAAGTCACTGGTGGCAACATTCTATGAAGAGGGGATTGCAAATCCTGTCCACAGATATGACAAATGTCTCAATCTTCATGGTGATTATGTCAAAAAGTAACCAAGTGTGTACCTAACTTTTGGTAATAAATTCATTTTGTTATTTACACTTGTCTTTGTTTTATGGACCATCAGAGGTTGGAAAAAAACCACCCTCATACATTTTATAATGATATTTTCCTTTATCTATCAAATTTTTTCATAGATATATTTGATGCTAATATTTTTGATTTTATATTAAATTTTGAAATGTCATAAAAATATATGTATGGGGATCAAAAATAATGGAACAACTTTGGGAGGGCAGGAAGTTCATAGCATGCATATCCACTGTTAGATGTCAGTAGATGAAATCTTCTGGAATCAGTATGTGAAGCAGTGTCGGCATGTCAAGACTTGTTGGCCCATAGCGATTTTTTTTTTTTTTTGTGAGAACTATTTTTTGTTTTCATCAAAAATGTGATGTCAGATTTTAAAGAACAATATGCTGTTGTGAAATTTTGTTTCCTGTTAAGGAAAAGTGGATCATAAACAGTTGAAAGAATTCAATGTGCTTACAAACAAGATACCATGAGTAAGACAAGGGTTTACAAGTGGTTATCCCACTTTCAAAAAAGAAAAATATGTTTTGAAGATCAAACCAGGTCTGGTTGTCCATCTAACGTTCAAGTCAACGAAAATATTGAAAAAATTTGCAATCTCATTAATGAAGATTGCTGTCAAACCATTGATGAACTTGTTGATTTGTCTGTGGATTTTGTGGGAGTTTGATTCAGTGAATTTTGTCACAAGAACTTGGCATGAGAAGAGTTTCCGCATAGTTGGTTCCATGCTTGTTGACTGCCAGTTAGAAAGGCAATTGCTTGGCAGCTTGCCAGGCTTTGAAAGAACATTTGGAAAATGATCCAGACTTGTTTTCTAAAGCGATAACTAGTGATGAATCATAGTGTTATGGTTACGATCCAGAAACCAAATGTCAATACAGCCAGTGGAAAGCATCAGGATTTCCTCGTCCCAAAAAAGCAAGACAAGTGAAGTCAAATTGTGAAAACCATGCTGATCTGTTTTTTTCTGATATGAAAGGAATTGTTTATTCTGAATTCATCCATCCAGGCCAGGCAGTCAATTGACATTGTTATCTGGAAGTCCTCAGGACTTCATGATGCTGTGAGAAGGAAAAGAAAGAACTTGTAGTGAATGGGGGATTGGTTTTTCTATCATGACAATGCGCCTGCTCACACGGCATTCTCCGTGCAGCAGTTTTTGACAAGAAACGGATGACCCCTACCCCCATTCACCTGATCTCACATCTTGCAATTTTTTTTTCCCAGGATGAAGAGGGAACTCAAAGGGAAGTGATTTCAGCAGTAGAAGAGGTGAAAACAAAAGTGATAGAGGTGCTAAGAGACATTTCAGAACAGGAATTTTCTAGGTGTTTTGAACAATGGAGAAAATGTTTAACAAGTGTATTGAGGCTAATGGAGAGT